CGCGTCGCGTTAACTTGCCGCGCGATGAAATTGATTTACGAGGTGAGCGCCACGCGTTGGCTGAAAATGTATGAGCGACGGTAGATACCCGCTCATTTGCGGCGACATAATTGCAACGTCGTACGCATAGGTGCGCTGCAGGGTTAAATAGCGGTAGAATTACGAGTTTGTTGTTTACCTTGTTGTACAGAGCGTTCCACGAAATTGGGTCAGGTTAGCGATTTGAAAGGGACAGCAGGGAGAAAAAGGGAATTTTATTAGTGAAAATTAGATGGTTTACGGTGGTGTTTCGCGTGATACGTATGTTTGAGGTGGAAGTGGTGGTGTTTTGTAGCTGCCAGGCGCGTCTCTCATTTTCTTCCCAGAAATTACGTATTCTTTTTACACTAAACCATGGGTTTTTGTAATCCTTTGCGAAACAGCGTGTTAAAATATTTCGGGGAAATATTGGTTGCTTTCGGAACTGCTATTTGAAGTACTAGTTTCTTCTGTCGTTGCAAACACAAACTTCTTCATTTCTTCGCATTTCCGGTATATGACGATGGTAGGTGCCATGTTGGCTTTGTTACGTTGGATTATGCTACGCGATATACCGTAAGAGTACTGAGAGAAACATGTAAACCAAAAGCCAGTTCATACCGCAACACAGGGATTAAGTTTCATGAATTAAATAAATAAATAGTAAATGCTATATCTGGTATCTTTGGACAAAGAAAGATTATTTCTAGCAAGAGAGAGTGAAACAATAAAACTACACTAGTATATTTAAAACAAATCTGAAGACTTCTTGTAGAAAACACTGTTTTTCTTTTTATTATTTAATTTGTATTTTACAATGTGCCCAGCTAGACATTTGGTCAATTTGTCTAACTTAATTGCTAAATAACACGTGGATGGCTACCCCCAGCGGGTTTTTGATGTAAGTGTCATCAAAAACATCATGTGCTATTCCTTTAAATTTGCAGACACTGTGAGCACTAATCCTCCTTCTGTCCATAAATAATTTGTATAAACATTTGCAATTGTTATAAAATTGATGATGTTCAGTGTGCATGTGTTGCAGCATGTGTGTAATAAACATTATTTACGCAGTCTAATGCAGTTAATAGTTATTTACAAATGAAAATTGCTCTTAAATTTTGTACTACAGCATTTCCATTGCCATGTACAATAGGACGATAAAAAGAAAACATTTTCTAATTTTCACACTTACTTTACGTTTTTTATAAGAAATCTTCATATCGGTGCACTTTAATTTACACTACAAAAAGGGTTGGCAACTAAGATCTTGTCATTAGGTTGTATTGACAAAATCCACAATCACTTAATTGCCAACCCAATAGTTAGTTGTTATGACTTCTTTGAAAAGTGTGTGCGTAAAATGTGTGGGAAAAAGTAGGCGACGACGAGTATACTCGTCAAACACAGAGTACATGTTATAATACAGAATCAAG